CCTCATAAAGGTGCATCCCGTGTCTTTTCATATGTGCAGCTCGAGACATCCGAGATGCGGTATCTGGTACAGGAAAACACTTTTTAGCTGGTTGCTTCAACACGCTACAGCAATCACGTTTAGTCAAGTAAATCCGTTGCTGCATATTTCACCCTGTTCCCAACGCATCTTCAACCGTCTTCGACGCGCCTAGGGTGCGCTTTACTGCACGGGAGACGGAGAAGACAACATTATCGTGAATAGCCGCGCGACGCACTGCCTGGCATTGAGCGTGGGGAAATTCTCAATATGGCTTCACGTGGCAATGGGCGCGGGAAGTTCCACACTGTGCGTCAGTTTCTATGTGTTCTTGGCCATTTCCTGCCCTGTTCTGTGTCTATCACTGTTTACGACATGGAGTCAGAAGAGCTGACGCGCTCCAGTACCCTCTTCACGTCCCTTTAATATCAAGTTTGAACGACTAAGTGGGAGAACTCGTCTCTCGCGGCGCGGCATCGCTCGCCACGCCTACCAGCGCGGAAAATTACGATTCTTTTGTCATACAAAACTAGTATGTGTTTGTTCTTTGTGCTTTTGTTAGTACGTAGTTCCACAATCTACAAGAACCGAAAGCTGATGTCGGCTTTAAAATCTACAATGGGAAACAACGCAGTCACCCATAAAAAGTGTCTAGTTTTCCATAAATGGAGGGCATTCGTCCTCGAAACAGTTGGCGAAGTTATTTCCATATAAGCACTTCGGTATTCTCTAGCCGCAGTTTCGCCTCTGTTTACATCTTATTGTTGAGCGGTCATGCTGTGTGATGTGTCTGTTTGTATTACTTGCAGTTTCCTGTTCAAATTCCTTGAAAAGAACGTACACTCCCGAAAGTAGAATTTTTTGTAGAATGTTTAAAATTCTAGTACTTTGTTGGTTCAGTTGTTACATCGCTTCGCTATGGTTCTGAATTGGGTATGTCCTCGCAAGGCTCCACGGCGCTGTCCTCACGACGTGGACATGCTCGCGCTGATCTCGGCACTGCTCCAAACCACCACAGGTATGTTCCTTAAAAATATGTTGAAAGCTTACCTCACTGCAGTTGTGGCAATACAATGGGATGTGATTCAGAACTATTCGAATCGAAGGGCTCGACGATGATCTTGCTGATGACAATTCTCATCCGCGTACGTACATCTGGGGAACAAGAGTTTGTGTGGTGGACGCGCAAAGGTTCAACGTTATTCCTTAGAAACATAGTTCTAGTTTTGTTGCAGCTTTGAAAGTTTATTTCAGGATATTCCGCGCTTTTATAACTGAGTTCAAGGTATCTACATTGGACGAAGATGAGAACATGTTGATGCTACCATCCACGGTAGGAAAACTGCACATTTCACGTTATTGCTACGTATAACTGTAAACTAAAAATTTCAGCGGCAAGTAGTCGATACCTCAATCCCGTACTACATGGAGCGTCTCTTTGAAATTGACCAAACCGACTGTCCGTATCTCAACTTGAACCTTGCTCATGTCAAAGCATTTTCTGAGCCGCTTTACAGGAAGATCGTTGCTTATCCAGCGGTAAATTATTGACTTACTGAAAGGCGAGTTACTCTGGAGGATTATATCAGATTTGCAGGATGTGATCCCTTATCTGGATATGACTGTGAACGAAATTTACCAAGAGAAGTACAACCGCGCTCTGGCTACCCCCATTGAGCTACGTCCGTTCAACGCCGATAAGACAAGAAATATGCGTAGTCTGAATCCATGTGGTAAGTTCTCTTCAGTTGTTCAGGAGTCAAGCTTATGCAGCTCTTTCTTCTTTCTTTCGCTGTTGTTACAACACGTCGACCGTTCAGATATTGATCAGTTGATCACAATTACTGGTATGGTAACTCGCACGTCAACATTGATCCCAGAAATGAAAGCTGGTTTCTTCCAGTGCTCTATTTGCAAGTTTTCGGTGGAGAGTGAAGCGGACAGTGGAAGGTACGTTGCCTTCTTTGGAATGGAACAAAAGGTGACTATATGGGCCAAAATTATGAAAGTAAAGAACATCGCTCTATTTTCAGTCAGACTATTTTCTGGGGGTGTAAGACAAAGGCATTTATTGGCTATGATGCAGAGACCCGCGCGGCCAACGCCTAATATGTCAAAGCACAACAGTTGCTTTTTCAAACTTCTTCGTTGTTTTCAAGCGTTGGAAAAGCAGTCGCATTGCCGGATGAGGCCTGCGCTCCCTCTTCTGTGACTGTGACTGTCCTTCGTCGGACGGGCCGATCCAGCCCCTTGCTTTCGTTGTGTTGAAATACATGGTTAGTGCTTGGCCTGTTTGCGACAACGCTTCTTGTCGGTCTGTGGGTGGGACATAGCATAGGCCATATGTGCTCTGTACTTCCTCTTCCGTGCCCTCATGCCGTGCCCACCGCAACTCTGCCCCATCCCTCAAGTTTTTCTTCAGCTTATAAAGATAATTACAAGAAAACAAGCACGAAAGAAAAGCAAAAAAAGTTCTCGGAAGTCTGAGGCGAAGATCCGCCCTATTCATGGGTATGCCTTGCATCCCAGAAAATAGGATATTTTGAGAATCTCCTGTGGTTATTCAAACTGATGGCCTATTAATTGGCTAGTCGCTGTACAATTGTGGAAGTTTTTGCAGGATCGAAGAACCATCAGTGTGTACCAACTGCTCGAACACCTATGTGCTTCCAGCTTATTCATAACCGCTCGCGGTTCCTAGACAAGCAAATCATTAAGCTTCAGGAGTCACCTGGTGAGTTACATGAGTAACTGGAATGAGAGTGATGCAGTTCCATGTATCTTCAAGATTCCCAAGATGGAGCAGTCCCATTGAAAAGTCTGGGTTTTTCCGCCTGCTAGCATGAAAGTGTCAAAAGAAAATGCAGAAGAACTGTTTGCGCAAACCTTCTAACATTCGTCAAGGCAAGATTTCTGTCAGCGACCGTCGAGGTCTCTGTATGTGCGCATGCGTGCGAAAGTATGTTAAGGGGACAGGAAGGGCTATAAGGTCATACTTTGAGTCGGCGTGCAGCAGCGCTTTGAGCGTACTCCAGCGGCGACTAGGAGAATGTAGGTGTCGAATTAGCGAACGTCAGCGTTTTCGTGGGCAAGCTGAGCTTGAGCAAAACTGCGGCGAAAACGCTGCTGTACGCTGGCATACGCTGATGCTCGGTGCTCACGCTCGAAACGTGCCCTACGCCGGGTACGCTGACCAAACTATTAACTATGTCCCGCCTCAGATGACTTCGGAAGCATCATGTAATCCAGTTTCCTACCTTGATAACTGTTTTCAAGCGTTCTTCAAAAATGCTGCCTTATGACAGTCCTAATACTTGTCATGTTATCATCTCCGTCCGTAAAAAAACAGAAACTCTCAAGTAGGA